TCAAAGTTGTTTTATGTAGATATTTTTTAATATGTAAATATACGAGGATCGTCTGAAAAGTTTTAAGCCTAACATAAAAACAAGTAATTTTTCGGTCAAATTCAATTTTAATTTTCCATATAGTCTCCTTTTAAGTGGATACATTTTTTCCAGCGATGCTCCCATCCCTTCAATCCATTCAAATAATACTGAGCGTCTTACTTTGCAATATAGGAATCTACGGATGCGATGACCTCGTTCGATGAAAATTTCTGTCCTCCGAGCCAAACTTTGAGCCTAGGAAACAGAAAAAAGTCGCTGGGGGCCAGTTCTGGTGAATACGGTGGATGGTCAATTAATTCGAACCGCAATTCGTGAATTTTTATCATGGCGGCTGCTGATATTCGATTTTTTCCATTTTTACAAAAACATTGACATTGACTGGCACAAATGACTGTCAAACAACAATTAAGCGCCAGAAGTAGCTACAATTTTTGCAGGTATCTTTCAAAGTATGTACGATTATAGTACCAAAATTGTTTTGACGAGTAATGCCATCTTCATGTTGAGGCTCAAAACTTTTCAGACGACCTATGTATATATATATATATATATCTTTTTATATAAAAACCATACACAATTGTTTGAAATTTTAAAACCTCTCTTAGATGATTCATAATTCAATTTTAAAATGACAATTAAAGATGTAATTTTTTTCTGTGAATGTTTATCTTTTGTTCCTATCAAGGACGATTAATAACATGTTTTCAGCTATTGAGCTTATTTATGTCTAATATCACCGCGAACTTCATAATCGATATGATACCAGCATTTGTGTCTGTAATAGGTAGCCTGAGCCAAATGTATGCACGTGTCGGACATGCAGGCAAAGTAAGTTTAATCGGTCGTTACTTATAAACCTAATAAATTTTAAAAATTCGGACAGAATGTGTTGTTTATTATAAACATTTAATTTATACAAAATTTACATAAAAAGTCGTTTTTACAAGTTTTTCATGTGTGTATCTATATGTAGAATGTCAGAATTGCAGTTAGTCTAATTCTAATTAATGTCATTATTTTTATCATAACTATAAATAGTTATA